AAGGGGGACTGTAGACATATCACGTAGGGTTTAGAATGCCTTAATTTACTTAGAGGGGAAGCAAAGGTTTGTTCTCAAATTCTGGGTATGTTTCTAGCTTCGAGACAGGTGAGTTGCCTAATCTTTTTGTTCCAAAGATTTCCTCTTTAGTAAAATGGGCATACCAATATGTATATTAGTTGTAATGTTTGTAAGTCATCTATTCTAGTTTCTAGATTTTGAGGACTACAGGGAACCGCTGAAGGTTCAGGGAAGGGAGGCAGCTGAATGGATTTGGGTTGTCAAGAGATCCTTCTGGAGACCGTGACTGGAAGACTGAATGGGGTTGAAGGGGTGGGTGGGTGTGGTATGGTGATTGAGCAAGGTTCTGGGAGACCAGGGAGGAGGCTGAAGCAATAGTCTAGGCAAGAGAGGACTAAAACTGAGGCAGTGGGATGGAATAGACAGAACTAATAACTATTTAGGTGGCAAAATGAGCTTGCTTGACTGACTGGATGTAGGAGGTGAGGAAAAGAGAGCACTCTGGAATCATGATGGGCTTTCTAGTTGGAGAGCAATTCCACTAACCTGGATCTGGGATACAAAGGGAGGGGCAGCCTGAAGGAGGGGTGTTGGAAGAATTGACAGTCGGGTGAGGAGGGGAGAAAAAGGCTGAGCCCCTGGGTTGGGTGGGGGGCATATACTGAAGGAGCAGAACCTTCTCTGAAGGCTGGTGTTAGAGAAAACATGAATTCTCACTGTTCTGTGAGTGCTGGGCACAGGGAATAAGCAGGCTCCACATCCTGAACAAGTCAACTTTAGAATTGCCAGGGTGGGCTTGGATATTGGGACTTCCCCTGAAAAGCCACTGATGGAGGACTTCTGCCAAATCGTGTCCCAGAAAGATGGGCACTCTTTCTCTTTCTAAGGCATTTCTTGTCATTCCTCCTAAGGCAGACCCACAGATAATCTCCAGGACTTCCCCAAAGCCAACTTCCTTGTTCCAATTCTCCTATTTAACCTCTTCCACTACAGTTTCCCACAAATTTGCTCAGCATGTTCAGGTCTAATTCTGAATTGTTTTCAAGTACAGTTGTTTGTTTGTTTGTTTTTTACTTATTTTTATTTTTGTGACACTGTTCCTTCCCCTTCCCAATAATGGTGGGATAGAAGAAGGAGAGGAGAAATACCTAGCAGTAGTGAAGTTTGGGGTTAAATTCAGTCATTGTGGAGCAAAGGTACATTTGTCTTTAGTCCAAAGTTCATTTTTGAGATTATTGCCTGACATTCTACCCAGATGTGTCAGGTGGTTTCCCACAGGTGAGAAGACACAATGACAACAGAAGAACAAAGTTCCTTGCTCAGGCTTCTCTTTATGAGAAGGTAGCAGTCACTATCCTTTGGTGTTTAAAACTTCAAGGACAATTCAAGGCTTGTCTTTATCTTAGAGGGGAATGGGGCTGTTAAACTGGGATGATTTCAGAGACGTTTTCAGAAAACTGATTCCTTATTCCTTCAAGCTTCCCTCTCTACCCTTACCTAGTTGGTGGGGCCTGGGCATGCTTTCAAGAGATTCTCTTCCTTAAAAAAATTTCCTGGACTTTTTCCTTCACAGTCACAGAAGTGTATGACTCTGGAGGAAATACATTCCTAATATGTGAATAAATAATAAAAAACACACAGTGTGATTTAATTTAGAGATGGGCAGTAGCTTACCCAGAGCTCTGAGCTTGATGCCTTGCTCTCTCATCCTGCTAAGAGATTAGCAAGCAGTGGAGAGGTGTTAAAGCCAAACTAAGCACCAAACTGAGACCTTCTGAATGTCATCAAGTGGCTCAGGGGAAGCTGAAAAGGGATTGACTTTCTTAATTTACAGTTCTGTGTTGTTAATTTCCAAGTCTCTTCACCACCTAAGTCAGCATGGGTGCTGTCAGGGTCCTCATCTCCCTTAAGGAAGCCTAACTCCACAATAGTCATTTATTTTCTGTATCCCTGCTGGGTGGTGAATTCCTAAAGGGCAAGAGCATACTTCTGGTGCCTTCAGTACCACACACAGTGCTTAGACACAGTTGGGAGTTTAGAAAAGAACAAAGTGATAACAAATGAAAACCTTTTCCAGGTGCAAATGACTTAGGGCAAAGCCTTTATTGAGGGATGGGTGGAGAAGAGAATGTTGGAAGGTCTTGGAATCAAGAGAATATTCCAAGAAAAGGGAAGCTACAGAGATCCATGGTAAATAGCATTGACACAGTGATGTCACCAGATGAGGTCTCTGTTGAGGGCAGTGTTGTGACAGAGCTTGTACTACAAAATCAGACAATGAGAGGGTCAATCCAGACTCTCACTGTTTACTAACTACATGAACTTGGGCCAAATAATTTTTGCTTTGGGGACTTAATCATCTTGCTATAACGTGATGATAATACTTCACCTACAAAGGCTCTTACCATGGATTGGGGTGGAGGTCCGGACTCAGTAAAAAAAAATCAACACTTTGTTGTTAGAGGGTATTATTCTTTCTCTGTTGTATCTATCATCTATCTATCTATCTATCTATCTATCTATCTATCTATCTATCTATCTATCTATCTATCTACCTATCCATCCATCTATCCTATTAGTTTCAATAAATGTTTGAGATTATTATTGCTGTTCTTATTGTTTTGGTAGTAGAATCCCCAGTGCCCAGCGTGGTTACTAGCACATTGCAACATTCAACAGATGCTTATTGGTTGAAAAAGTTACACCAACCTGTGATCTTTCTATAGGAAAATATTCCTCCTCAATATTTTCTAAGTATATGCTACCACCATCTGCCCAGATATTTAAGTCAAAAGTCTTGATTCCTTGCTTTATTAAGCACCCATTATGTACTAGACTCTGTGCAGGTACTGCAATGAGGTAGGTAGGGGGAGCTTGCTAAGCTAGACCCAAGCACAGCTCTCTAGGATCTTAGAGAAAAGGGAAGCAGGAAAAATTATCATTTGTTCAGCTTTGTCTTTGTCATTAGGTGTAGCTCACAAGTGGAACATCTTAAGAATTTTTGATAACACCTTGGAGAACATGTAGAAATACTTGAAACCCACAGTCATTTGAATGGAGAAAAGGCTATCAACACCATGCAGTATTTCCCTGGGAGTGGAATGTACACAGGCCACATTTTGGAATTCTCCCTGGTTGTGAAAACCAGAGAGAAATACAGTATTAATTAATGGTTTTGAATCCTACCAGTATTCTTCCCTCCTGGACAGTCTCTCTGTGGATGAGGCAAATGAGTGGGAAGAAGAATGACAAAGAGATGCGGAAAGTGACTTGGCTAAATCTTTTGAAAAGCTGACTTATAGCTGGGTGAGCCAGCTTATATCTACTGAGTGTAGGCCTACTTTATATATCCCTGTATCTATATGAAGAACAGTTTCAAAAAAATTCTGTCACTCTTTGGCTTAATTGTGAGTCAGTAGGTCTGGTGCGTGTGTGTGTGTTTGTGTGGTGGAGGGAGAACTGGGTGCAAAGTGTGTATGTACTTGTAAAAAAGTGTTTTGAATGTGTGTAGAATGGGGGTTTTATATTTATTTATTATTATTATAATTAATTTATTTATTTTTAACATGAGGAGAGTGTATATGGAGGGGAAAGTATATTTGCGTGTGTGTGTAGTGCAGATGGTGGGTGGAGTTACATGAACAGCCAGCCTCTCAGTGACCCAGACAGTGGTATAAGATAGTAAGGGTTATAAAAGGTGATTGTTTTGCTTTTAGACCAGCACCCAAGACTTTCAGGAGCCCTTGACTTTTTCTTCCTCCCTTCTTGTTAAAAAGGGATTAGGGTCCAATTAAACCGTTTAATCCCAAGGTAGAGATTCATGTTTAAAAACAAGATTTATAGCTTTAAAAGAAAAATATATCAGTGCAAGTTGAGGTTTATCCTCTCAAGTTGCCACCTGCATGGTTCCAGAGCATGTTTTCAGCAGAATACCCAACACACAGTTCTTAATTACTTTGCCTCACACCTCCAGTCCTTCATCTTCTTAAGGGCCCTTCACTCTAAATAGCCACAAGCTCTTAGAGCACTTCTGCTTCTGGAGTGCCACAATCACCCTCTGGTTTACCTCCCTTCAGTCTGTAACTCAGTGACCAGGCTTATTAATAATAGTATGAAGAGTTAATGCTTCTTGGGTGCTTGGTATGTGCCTGGCATTGTGCTGAGCAGATAGTCTCTCATTAGATGCTCCATATGAAAACATGCAGGCCTGGCTGCATGGGTGTGCGACCTGTGTGGTCACACAGAGCTCCGTGCTTAGCAGTGCCCTCCACTTGGTTTAATGCTCTGCTGTTTCCTTTTGAAATTCTTAATGATTTCTGAGCAAGGGAGCTGCATTTTGATTTTCACTCGGTCCTGCAAATAATATAGCTGGTCCTAAAAACACCCAATAACCTATCATATCTTTTTTTAAATTTATTATTTTTTTAATTGATTACGCCATTACAGTTGTTCTATTCCCCCCTTCATTCCCCTCCACCCTACCCCCCGTCCCCACCCTTACCCCCCCTTTAGTTTATGACCATGTGTCTCAAGTTCTTTAGATTCTATATTTCCCATACTATTCTTGCCCCCCCCATCTATTTTCTATCTACTGTCTATGCTACTTATTTTCTGTACCTTCTCCCCCTTCTCCTCCTCCCACTCCCCTATTGCTAACCCTCCTTGAGATCATTTCTTTTTCTTCTCTTCCACATGATGACTAATACTTTGCCAGAAGATGGAACAGTAAATTTTCAAATTTTGATGCCAGAATCCTCTGTAGAAAATGGCTTGAACTCCTCTAAGCCTCATCTGTAAAGTGGTGATAACAATAATAATACCTAGTTCACAGGTTGTGAATACACATAATACAAATGACATTAATTACTATTATGTATTGTGGATGCTTAGTAGGTACTAAACTTCCAGTGTGCTTGTAACATGGTGTGGATCACTTGTCCAACTCCAATGTGCCCTGACACCAGGGGTTTGTTGCCTACCTGTCCCGAGCCAGGGAGAACATCTGCTTTCTCCATGGGCGGCATGGTCACAGAGGGGTTGCTGGAGCTGATTAGCACTGGGGTGCTGATCTCCACCATGTGGCGCCCTGAGGGAGAATGGACCATCCTGTTGAGGGTGTTTAAGGCTGTTGTGATGGAGAACTGCCCGGACCCTTTCCTCCTAGACCCAGGGCCCCTTCGAAGCGTGGATGTGTTGGTGGCTTTGCCTCTAGAGGATGTGGACACCAGAGACAGGCTCTTTGTGTGGGATGGCTGACGGCCTTTGTTGTTTTCTAGCAGATGTCTTGCTGTGAGATTTGGCTGAAAAGACAAAAGGTTAGATGAGAAGTTAGTCTTCCTGATTTAACACAAGAAGCAAAGTTTTACCTGGGCTAATCTGAAGCTGGTTCAGATGCTACTCCCTCACTTGCCATTCCTTGGTCAGCTTCCAGCTTTGACCAATAAGTTCCTGTTTCTTTGCTACATCAATAAATTCCCACTACTCCCTTGCAAAGTGGGTCTACTCTTTTCCTCTTTTCCTGAGGTCCAAAGTGTTAAAAATAAGCCATGATACTCTTCCCTGTTGGGGAGCAAGTCTTCCTTTGCTTTGCTTTACTGCTCCCCACCACATCCCAACCCTTTCCACCTAGTGGACTTCTCCCCTCCAGCTTCAGCCACCTGTCAATCCACCCTGGGTTGGCACCTTGTACATCTTGGTGCCCCTACAGCCCTGTACTCTCCCATCGCAGCAGCACCCCATCCTGTAATTACTAACTTTCCTCACCCCCAGTGGACTGTTGCCTCCTCTGCTGTACCCCAGAGTGGATGCTGTGAGTGCTTGCGGAATAATGCATGGATACAGTTGCTCAAGTTCATACATTTGATAAATGTTTGAGCCAGAATGTAAATCCATTCAGGATCTCGAGTATTTATGCTCAGACTATCTTTTTCTAGTTCCTTTAAATACTCCCATCTTATCACCATTCTCTTTTGCTCTATACCTCTTAGTGGTGAGCTGATAAGCCAGAAAAACAAGCAAACTAAACCCTGACTTGTAGAGTCTACCAGTTTCTGTGGTGTAAATATCTACCAATCATTTAATAACTGGCCGGCAAAATTCCTGAAAATACAACAACCTAGTCTCACAATCTAGTACCAAGTAGTTCTAGCACAACCACTGACTGCATTGTATTTTGAATACCCTTCCTATCAAGGCCCTCTGTATGTTCATTTCTTTCAGAAACCTGAAATATGTTAACAAATTGTGAATTTGTGTGAACAAAATTTATATTTACATAATGATGATTGTTACCAGATGCCCTCCAAAACTGGGGCTGTCTTATTGTAATTTAGAGATTTGACTATAGGGGTAAAAAGGAATGTGCCCACTTCAAAACTTTTCAGTTGATACAGGGTGCAGCCGGGGGGGTGGGAGAGGGACAAAAAAAAGATTTGGAGTGGTGTCCAGAATTCAAAGTGTATAGTAATATTGGAGAGACATATAAGATGTCCTCACCCCTTCCTCAACAGGTGAGTTGGGGAAAGGAACACATGGAGCAGGAACATGCAGGGCTGTTTTGTACAGCTACAGCCTTGCTGCTAATCCATGGCCTGGTCATTTAACATATCTATAGACTTTGGCGGGTCACTTGGATACGTTAAATGGCTGTGGCCAGGCTTGGAGCTAGGGGGATGAAGTCACTTCCCCAAGATGTAACTGGGGGTCAGGTCCCCCAAGTTACAGCGCCTGTGTGGGAGCTTGGAACCATGGCTCTAGGACATGGGACGATAACTGCCCAGACTAACGATGGCAGCCCAGTAAACTTGTAATAATACAGAAATACTGGCAGGTGTAACTGATCATGGGAGGAGTTGGAAATAGGGGTACAGAGGAAGATGGGTGCGAGGATTTAAAAGTCAGACACAGCAGCCATTGGAAAGAGCCACGCAGTTTCAGCAGAGTGAGGACCCCCTCTTGGTGAGGAGAAAGAGGGAGCCACGTGGTTTTGGCAGAGTGCAGACCCCCTCTTTCCCAGGTGAAAGGGAAAACCACGCAGCTTTGCCAGAATGGAGATCCCTGCAGCCAGGTGAAGAACAAAGACACATGCTTTTGGTGGAGTGCGGACCCCTGAGGCTTTGGTATAAGAGGCCCACACAGCTTTGGGGTGCCCCCTTTGTCCACGTGGCCTGGAAAGCAGGAGAGACTTTGACTGGAACTGGGTACAAAGAACTCTTGCCAGTGGACTGTGAGAGGGTACCACAGTACTTTGGATTAACTAGAGAGAGATCATGCCTGCACAGTGATACAGCTGACAGTGCCAGCAGCCTGAAAAACAGAGGTGTGTTCCTTTCCTGATATACGGTACTTGGAGTTGGGACAGTGGGAGAAGGGAGAGCTGTGTGGGTGTAGGTGTATACCCTAAAAGACTTCAATATTTTAGTGGAGGCATTAAGCCTAAATAGAATTAAATAAACATTTCATTTCCTTTTCACAAATCTCTGGCATTGAGAGATGTCTTTCCAATTGGTGGTGGACAGAAGAGCCCAGTAGATATTAATATTCTGTCCTTAGGATGGGTCCTTGTTCTGTAGCAGTTTTTGGCATCCCTAGGTGGGCCAAATACTGCCCTTCCCCCTCAGACCTGTTGTTCTGTAACACAATGACAATGTGCAGATGACTGCAGTAGCCAAAACAGAAAAATTTAAAGCAGATGAAGTTTCTGTCTCAAGAACCTTGTAATATTGTGGGGGAAAAATCATCAAGTATGGGAGGGGGCATTATCATGTCTACCTTATTTACTTTTAAAATGGTTTTATTTATTTATTTTTATTTTTAAACTTATTTATTTTATTTTACTTATTTATCTTTAGAGGGGAAGGGAAGGAGAGAGGGAGAGAAATATCAATGTATGGTTGCCTCTCGTGCATACCCTGCTCGGAACTGGCCTGCAACCCAGGCATGTGCCCTGACTGGGAATCGAACTGGGATCCTTTGGTTCAAAGGCCTGTGCTCAATCCACTGAGCTACACCAGCCAGGTATATTTATATATTTTTAGAGAGAAGGGAAGGGAGGGATAAAGAGAGGGAGAGAAACATCAAGGTGTGGTTGCGTCTCATGCGTCCCCTACTGGGGACCTGGCCTACAACCCAGGCATGTGCCCTGACTGGGAATTGTAGGAGACCGTTCTGCGTGGTGTGGGCCCAGCTCCCATTCAGAGATGCACAGGACTCACGCCCATGGATAGGTTCTCCCATAGGTAATCAGGCCTGCAATGTGCCTAAGCAGCTTTGAGTCTTGCTTTTTGCTGGGAACTCCCTCACCTGAATTTGTGGTAAACATTTACTATAAAATAACTTCCTAAAATCCATGCTAAACTTTCCAAGGATGAGTGTAACCAGTTCAACCACTTTTGCCTTTCATTTGCAAATATCCCTCTTCTGTGATGTGCTTAGGGGCATTGGCTCCTTTGTTTTCTGTAAAAGCTAACCATCTAAAGCAACCTGTGCATAGTAAATGAGGACCATTATGTAACGTGCTGAGAACTCCAATAAAGAAGTTTATCTGCTTAAAAGAAAGCAGGTCATTGCAAGGGCAGAGCCTTTTTCTCCCCTTTCCTCCAATGGACTAGGTAGTCCATGTGAATGTCTCATTTCATCCATAATGACGCGGACACCATGGGCCGGTGTCCACATCAGGAATGCAACCAGCGACCCTTTGGTTTGCAGGCCAGGACTCAATCTACTGAGCCATACCAGCCAGGACTCATGTCTACTTTAAAGATAAGAAAGCTAAAGTTCAGACGGGGTGACTTATAAATGACAAAGCCAACATGAAACAAGCAAACAAAATATCCAATAGTGGTACGTGTTCTGCTGTGACAGAGAATGACATGGGGAGGTGGCTGCTTTAGACTCGGCAACCAAGGAAAACCTGCTGAGAAGGTGACATTTCAGCTGAGACACAGATGACAAGAGGAACCAGACATGTGAAGATGGGGGTAAGAATATGCCAGGCAGAGGGATTGTTAACTACTGGACAGGTCTTCAAAAGGCAGGGGTGGGCAAGGTTAGCTTGTCTGAGAGTGAGACAAGAAAGAAACAGAAAAGGCTGGAACAGAGCGAGTGAGAAGCAGGTGGTAGAGGAGACCACTGAGACAGGCAGGGGCTTCTAAGTGTTGAAGTGGGAAGCTTTGGAAGACCTTTGTTCACCCAAATCCCAGGCACCCTGGGAGAGCGATAAGGCCGTCTGGGAAAAGCAAACAGCAGTATAGTCACAAGGACTGGGGCTAGCACCCCCACAGTTAGAAATAATTTTCACATTTAGCCTTTGTACTCTGCTTCTGCCCTGTAGCTAGAACTAACTTCCGCATTCTGCTTACGTAGACAGGAAGACCCTGTAGACTATATAAACCCCAAGAATCCTTTGTTTGGGTCTCAGAATTTGGAGGCTGCATGCTCTGGGCCCGTGCACGTTAATAAACCTCGTACTCCAGAATCCCTCAGTGTCTGGTTGCTTCATTTTCCTGTAACAGTGTAAGGAAGCCTTTGGCAGAATTTAGGTAGAGGAGTGACATGATCTGATTTATGCTTTTGAAAGTTCACACTATGCTTTGGCAGTTTCTTACAAAGGTAAACACATACTTAGCACCCAATCCATCAATCCCACCCCTAGATAATTACCCAAGAAAAATGAAAACTTACGCTCACTCAAAAAATGATATGCAAATGTTTATAGGAGCTTTAATCATAGTCACCCACAACTGGAAACAACCAGAATGTCTTTCACCTGAGGCATGAATAAACAGACTCTGGCACATCTGTGGAGTGGAATATGACTCAATGATAAAAAGGGATGGGTTACTTGCTACATTCAACAACATGGATGACTCTCAAATGCATTATGCTAAGTGAAAGAAGCCAGACTCCAGAGGCTACATTCTGCGTGACTCCATATTCTATGATATTCTGGAGAAGATCAGTGGTTTGCAGGGATTGGGAGTCAGGGAAGGAGTGGAGTACAGAGGGGCAGCATCACCTAGTATTTTGGGGAGTATTGGAACTGCTCCTCACCTTGATGATGGTGTGACTATTCTGAATGTCTTCATCAAAACATATAGAACCAAACACCAAAGAGTGTGTATTTTACTGTATGTAAATAAAAATAAATGCATAAAAAACTGTTATTCCAGACTAGAAGGAGGGAGACTAAGTAGGAATTATTCAAATTGTTCAGGCAAGTTCTGATGGCTGTCTGGGTGAGGGACAATGTCCTTTCATTCACCAGAACACCTATCCTCAGGAAGAGGACAACATCCACACTTTGAGTTGAATGAGTCAAGTTCTTCATGGTCATTCACAGCTACAATGAAGTTAATTTTTTCTGCTTCTCCCTAATTGTTCTGTCCCCAGGTGAGCAGTGCCATCAGTGTTTCCATCAGCAATACTGACAGAGGGCTCCATGTGACTCTTGGTTTGCCCTGTCCTCTGCCAATGTGACTAGTGGCTCAGTTGGGGAAGAACTGCATATCTCTTAAATTTGCACCCACTCATTTGAAACAATATCCTTGAGGTTCATTGGGCTAAGCGAGATTCCTATCACCCAGGCAGGCCCCCTCAGAGAAGTCCTGACAAGAATGGGTATAAGCTCAGTATTTGTTTTGCCACCTTTTTGTTCAGGTGCAGTCCAATAAATCAAATGATGCATTGGCAAAAAACAAACGCTGTTTATGCCCCTCCAAAAAACAAAAATACCCCACACCACTCTTAAAAGAAAGCTTCCTTCCTTCTAATTGCTGTGCATAGAACTGGCAATTCAAAACTTATTTAAAGAGTCTTCAACAAGTGCTAGTCTTAATGAAATGCCTGAAGTCAAAATTTAAGTACTGCTTTAGAAAGCTCAGTTTAGCTTCCATATAATTTTTGGAAACCAGGTTCCCAGATTATAGCACCTGCTTGATTATCCTTTCCCCTCCTAGCAATTAGGAGAACAATTGAAGCAATGGCTAGTTTGATGATAATCTCAAGGATTCTTATAATCACCAGTTTTAGAGGTGAAGTGGTGGGGAGAGTATCCAGATGAAAAATCAATAAATATAGAAATTTGGGGGGAAAAGGAATATCAGAAATGGTATAATAATTGATGTGTCCCCCTCCCCCCGCCATGAAGAAGCTTTTTGAAGAACAATGTGAGCTCTCATCTGCAAAAATTTCAGCACTACCTGTATGTCCAAATAGAGATTAGTTGTAGCTGATCTCTGTTCTTAGAATCTTAAGCACTTGAATGCTAACTTACTTATAACCAATAACTTGTCCCCTTCTCTTATTAATCATAAAGGTGAACTAAAAGTCTCTGAGCACCTTTCCTGAAAACAGCCCATATGATCTTCGAAACACTCATGAGTGTTGGAGAACATGTATTAATGGAAAAATGGTTTTCAAGTGTTTTTGTTGGAAAAACTATTAAGTAACACATGGCTTGGGCTGCTAGTTATGCTCTATGGTAGATGTTTAAAAATTTTTTAAATTAAATATTTCAACATGGAGATGAGTATATTTATCGGAGATAATAATTTTGGATGGCTTTCCATTTTTACTTCATATAATGAGACTGCAGCTGATTCAAATACACAGCACTTAAACACAGTATTTTTCAAATTATTAATAAATGAGTTATCATGAAAAAAATCTTAACCACTGTCTCCCAGTCAGTGTAATGGTTCCTCTTCAGCCAAGATTGCCTGACCCAGCAAATGGCTCCACCAGTGACTTAGGCTCATCAATTAAAAAGGCTGCAGGATCCCTGACCACTTCTTCTCCCCTATTCTGTCACCTCCAAGTCTGGTGGATCCACCTCCAAAAGGTCATTGAATCTGTCCACTTGTTTCCAATCTATTGGTCTAAGCCACGGTCACCTTCTCACTGAGCCATGAAGTACCTCTGAACTGTTCTTTCTGGGGTTTTTTCCCTCTCCTCTCTTCAAATCATTCTTCCCACTGTAGCCAGAGTGGTCTTTAAGAAACCCAGATCTCATGGAATCATTGCCTCCTTTAAAATATTTCAATAGCTTCTATTGACTTCTGGCTTAAGCCCAGACTTTGACCTTATGTCAAAGACAACTGTACTCACCAAGTATTCTATGTACTCCCCTCTACTTCTCAGGTGACTTAAAGACAGGTAGGGCTATGAGTGGGAGTGACAAGTGTCACTTCTGAGCTGAGGCATTTGCTGATACACAACTCACTCTTCCCTACTCTGCTGCCACACACCCTAGGGGGTGAATGTGCTCCAGGTGATATGACCACAGGATGGCCCAGCCTCATCACTCTGGGTGGGTGAGAAATAATCCATCAATGGGGTGAGAAATAACTGGGCCATCACCCATCAATGTGGGTGAGAAATAACTTTTTCATTATTAAGCCCCTGAGATTTGGGGGGCTATTGATTATCATTGCATAACCTAGCTCATCCTCATTAAGACAGGATGGTTTACAAAGCTCCTGAATCTGTCTCCCATTTATTTCCCTGGCTTCCTTTTTTATCACTCCCTTAACTCTCTAAGCTCTAGCTCTACTATTCTCTTGGTCCCTTGGGTATATCATACTTCCTCATGCTGCAGGACTTTTGCACATGTTACTGCATTCCCTAGAACACTCTTCCCTCCATCCTTACCTACATAACTCCAAATCATCTGTCAGATCTTGGCTTAAGAGGCATTTGCTGACCCCCAGACCTGAAAAGTTGCACATCATACCCTCCCTCCTTGCAATTTTTCCTCTACTTTATTCTTTGTGTCATTCATTACACTTATAATTTCTTGATTAGTGTCTGACTTCACAATCTAAAAGTAAGGACCCATGTCTGTCTTGTATCGTTAGAACTTGGCACAGGACCTGACACAGCAGGCACTCTATGAAAAATTAGCTGAATGATTAAATATATTTTTAGGATGGAGTCACACAATGGTCTCTTCTCTAAGTTTTTTTCCTGGTTATTCTGACAACCTCCGAAATATTTTTTCATTCATTCACTTGTTCAGCAATTTGACTTTTTATGGAGTACTTGTTCTGTGCTAGGCTAGCCAAAGAAGGCCAAGTAATATACCCACCAGATGTTCAGAGAAGAGATATGAATGTTCAACTAGTTGCTGAAAATTTATGGAGAAATTGGGTTTCTATCTGAGCCTTGTGAAATAGTGAAAACTGGACAGGTGGAGGGGATTGGGTGGGTATACCAAGCAGGGCCCTCAGTAGAAGAAAAAGCATTGGGAAGGAGAATTTATTAGCCATAGAAGACCTGGCTGTCTGGACCCTTTCTCCATCCCCCTGTTCCACTTCTCATCCCTTCAGCACTGAGAGAGTGGAGGGGAGCCATGGAAGCTGGACACACTATTCACTTCAAAACCTGCTCTTATGAATGAATGAACTGGCTCCTTGTCTCCATTTACACCTCTGTTCTGTTTCCACCCTGCTGTCCTGAAGGGCAGGGAGCACGCCTTTTACTTCTTTCATAGCTTCCCACTGCTTACCTTTCATGTGTTATGCTTGGTAAACACCCACTAAATGCATTGAGCCAATGAACCCTCTTATAAATGTGTAAGGACCTGCTTCAAGCTTGGGTGAGGCTGAAGGTTATAGAGGTCAGGGACTCCAGGTAAACAGCCTACATGTGATGTGTGCTCTTATCAGAAGATTTGCAAAATACAAGCCAGCAGAAACAATAAAAATCATCTAGACTCTCACCATCTGGTGGTCACCACTGTTAATGTTTTGGTACATTTCCCGTTACTCCTTGATCCATTAATATATACATATATACATTTCTAAAGCTGGTTTTATATAGTTTACTTTGTTTCTTTTTATTATGGTAAGAAACATATAACAAAATTTATTATATGAACCATTTTTAAGTATACAATTCAGCAGTGTTAAATGTATTCACATTGTTGTGAGACAGCTCTCCAGAAATTTTTCACTCCCCAAAATCTGAAACTGTATACCCACTATACTTTATTTTACTTAATAATAAATCATAAATATTTTTCCATAATACCAAATACTTCATGATGCTGAACACTATTCTCTAACATTATTTTTAGTACATTTATATTTTTCCACTAACATTATATTTTTTAATTTTTTAAAATATGTTTATTGATTTCAGAGAAAAAGGGGGAAAGGAGGGTGGGAGAGAGAGAGGCATCGATTGTTTGCCTCCCATATGCACCTCAACTGGAGAATGAACCTACAACCTAGTTATGTGTCCTGACCAGGAATCAAACCCCCAACCTTTTGGTGTATGGAATGATGCTCTAACCAACTGAGCTATACTGGCCAGCGCCATCATCATTATTTTAAAAAATTAAATCCTAAGTGGGTTTTTTTAGATTATTAAGTTTTTAGATACCATTGTTTAGATTATTATGTTTTTAGATACCATCTGTTTTTTTTACCATTATACACAATGCTATGGCAAACATTTTTGCACATTTTATATGTATCTCTGCATGTTTGTTTTAATACTACTTTGCCATAAACTTTCAGATGTGTAATTGCTAAAAATGTGCATCTCAAAGGAGATGCACATTTATAACATTCTTGATATGAATTTGAGTTTGGATATGACAGATGGCACCACTTTATATTCCTACCACCAAAAAATGAAAAGGCCCATTACCCCACGCTTTTGCCAAAACTGGATATTATCATCTGGCATCTTTTCTTTAGAGTCTTTAGTTAGTTCTTAATAAGCCTCAGGTTAAATAGAAACTGCTCACAGGAATCACAGTGGTACATGTGTCTTTCTGAGTAAGTTTGAATCAGATGCAGACTTGATACATACCTCAACAAACAAGATTGGGAAGATGCCTATTTTATCTCCCAACTTTCCTTCTGCCCAGTTTTCATCCACTCGGCTGATGACAGTGATGATGTCATCCTGAAAGAGAAAAAATATCATGGTCAGTGTTTATCCTCAGTTGGCAGGTGATGTCCACTAAAAGCTCTCAGTGGACATCAGCATGGAGTTCCAGAGGTAGCTCTTTCGTAATTTATTTACAAAGTTTTCCTGGTAAATGATCTTTCTCCATTAAGGGCTGGACTAGGATCACCAAGACATGAGAGAAATAGAAACAATTTGGAGCATCAATGGACTCCAAGAAGAAAACTTAGAAGTGTTTCTAATTTTCAGTCACCAGCAGAATCTGGGCTTTTCATTTAAATTAATCTATTGGGGAAATCATGGTGGAAGTCATAGGGAGACAGACTTATGTCTTAGCAAAAGGAAGAATGTATTTCATTCTCATTTTGGGGACTTTTCAGAACCTATCAATGTTTAATGGGTCAAATGTAAAGTGACTTTTAATTAAAATTTTTCTCATTACAAAAGTCCATATGTAGGTTTGTAGAAACACTCAAAAATATAAATGAGCAAAACAAAGAAAAAATTCTACCACAATATATGTACAACCACTGTTAATACCATGGTTAACACTTTTTCCCTCCAGATTCTTTTCTATGAAGATAAAACATATATACGTGTACATATAACCATACTACTTTAAAAAATCTTTTTTGAAACATACACACATGAATATGATAAAGTACATAAATTTTAGATATAAAGCTTGATGAATTTTTACATTGACTAAACTCACTAAATCCTGATGAAGAGTATAGAACACTGCCGGTATCCAGAAGGCTCCTTTGTACCCTTTTGTATCACCTAGTGAGAGCTAACCACTCTCCTGACTCTTAGCATGGATGTTTATTTTGCTTGTTCTTGTACTTCAAACAAATGTAGGACACGTTGGCTATCTTACTGCGTACCCTATGAGGGACACCTGTCTGCATCTATCCCTGTTTGTCAGTCTAAACCTGAACAGTCACCCACTGATCTTTTTGACCTTCTGATCCATACCCCTGAGCAATTTAAATGAATCCCAATCTAAACTCATTCACTGCATTGTATCTTTTCTGAACTTTTCTGTCATTGCAATTACCCATTTAAAGGCTATTATTTCTTTAATGCCTATCTACCCATCAGAACATAAACTCCACGTGTGCAGGGCCTGAATCTGCTTTGTTCATGTCCATGTCTCCAGCACCTAATTCAGCGGCTCCCCTTTAGGAGTCATCAGTACTTTTGCATGCACTCATGCATGAATAAGTGACTGTGTGGATAAATTATAAAACTTAATGAGCTAGAAAACACCAGGGAAAGATTGTATGTTTAATTTGGATGTGCTGAGTTCAGAAAGACCATGAGATTTCCTAGCACAGTCTCAGCCTCCCATGTCCCTCCAGAATGGATCAAATTCCTCTTCTGGTTCCTTGTCAGAATTTCCCCATTGTGTGTCTGTTCCTTCCCCTATGCTGCTGACTCTGAAGGTAGGGACAGTGACTTAACTTTATCCCCAGTGGGTAGCTTGGCACATGGATGGGCTTCCTGAATGAATGAGCTGGTAGAGTTAGTTTTCTGGTTTGAAAATTCCCAGAGGGGGGGCAAAAGAAACACCCCCAAAACAGATGATGTTTCCTGCCTACGTCTCTCTCCAGCTGTATCCCCAGAGCCCAGTGTCTAATGCTTGGCACAAAGTAAATACTGAGTAAATGCTCATGGAGTTGAACTGTCCTTCCTCTAACTGTTGTTGAAGTATAGACTTTACAGTTTGGGCTACAGAATGACCTTTCCTAGGGGACAAGACAATAATGGTCAGTATTTCAAAATATGGGGGACAGTGAGGTTGTCCAGAATGAGAGAATCCTAAGTAAGTTTCATTTCTGGTAGTGGTGGAATAAGAACATTTTACAAAACAGAAGGCCTTTCCTGAGCCATTGTAACCATGCCACTTTTTGTATTTGATTTATCATAAGCAATGGAGAATAAAAATCACCTCAACTATGGTTTCTATGAGAAAATATGAATGTTTAAGGAATAATAAATACCGAACACAGAGAATTAAAGTAGTCTAGACTTTAGTAGAAGGATGAAGGCAAAAAATTTTCGGGTAATTAATGTCCTTGGAAAATTTATCTTGTTAGGGGTTATTTATGTATAGAGGCATAATTATGTTATGGTGTGTGTTTTGAATGCAATGTTTACAACAAAACAGACTATTGTAAGTGAGAAGAATTAGGTGATGAGAACTTGGTCAGCAAGAATACCCTTACAGATACATGATAAAGAGGTAAGAACTCTTGAGTAGTTTTCCAAGCCCACTATCAAATTGTTTGCAATTTTCTGTCCACATGTCTGCTTCTCCCCTACTCTGAGGGTAGGGACTGTGACTTGTTCATGCTGTATTGCCAGTGCCTACAAGGAATAGGTGTTCCAAGTGATTATAGAGTGAATGAATAAATGTGTAAATACTTATTTCTGTAATGGCAATAGAAACAGCTTATGGATTTCTATCAAACTGTTCTTAGCAGATTTCTCTAGTGATTTCATGCCTATCTAGTTTGAATTATATACATATACGGCATGTGTAAGCACATATGTATATGCATAGATACACTTATAAAATATATATAATTTTAGAAAAATTAGCAAACATTAAGCAAACAGCTCCAGGTTCTGCCACAGTCTCTATATGTTCACTAGTAGCACTGGTGGCAGCCCAGCATCTTACCTTAAGGAAGGTCAGGCAGTCCTGGTTGTCATTCTTGTCCTTATTTCGTAGGTCAAAATTGTAGAGAGCCCGGCATAGTGGGGGTGGCTGGGGCAGTTGCTTGATGACCTCCACAGAGCTGGCCGGGAAGAACCCATGGACTCCGTTGATCTCCCCCTGGTACCAGTTCTCGTCTAGCTGTCTCCGGAGGAGGATGACATCTCCTTTATTAAACCTCAGGTCACCAGGATTCTGCCCTCGGTAGTTGCACAAGGCCTTTGCTCGTGGCACCTGCAGTGGCACAGACCAATGAAATGTGTGCTTAGCTTAGAGCCGGGGTGGGGGTGGGGCAGAATGAATCATATTAACGACGAGCTGCTAAGCACTTCCAGTGTGCTAAGTGCTAAATGTGGGTCATCCTGTGGATCTGTAAACATTGAATGCAATGTTTACAACAGAATAAGATTGTTATGAATGAGTAGAATTAGGTGATGAGTTATATGTAGAATTATATAGTAGAGTTATATGGTCTGTGGGTCATATCTCTGAGATGGACACTCTAATCATCCCCACATGTAAGTAGGGTGACTGAGGCACAGAGTGGCTTAATAACTTGCCACAAGGTCACACAGTTGGGAAATGGCAGGTATGGGATCTGAACTCAGGCCACCTGAGTTTAGAGCTCCTGTTCTTAGTTATTATGCAAGAAACAGGATTTTGGACTTAACCCCACCACTGTGTGAACTTGAATGAGTCAGTGACTCTCTCTGGGGCCTGAACACTGGTTTTGAATTCTGGTTCCTCCTCTTTCCTCTTGTGTGACTATGGTCAAGTTATCTAACCTTTCTTAAATCATACTCACTTATAAAATAGGATGGTAATAGAATACCCACTTCATTGGGGTAGTTGAGAGGAATAACTAACATTCATAATGCTCTTAGCATATTGCTTGGTACCTAGGATGTGCTTAATAAATGGCATCTCTTATCATCATCACCTGTAATGGAGGGGTAATGATGCCAGTTCTACATATTCCTCAGTAACGATGGGAAGAAACTGAGCTGAGAAATCTATGCAAATAGAAAGTGTTGTATGAGAGTGTTGCAACATAATTTGTTTTCCGCCTTCTCTAGAAACTGTAAACCTCACAAGTGTTCGGATCATTAGAAGTACAACTGACACAAAGAAATCATTAATCAGAAACCAACCATTAATTTTTAAAAATGGGCTAAAAAAGTATCATTTGTCAAATCTGTTGTCTATTTAAATAATTATTTCAGTCAAATGCAAGTTTTTCTAATCGAAATGGGTTTCTCCACACAGAAATGGCCTCACTCTGTTCTTCTTGAAGTCAGCGGGGCAAACTGAAAGTTCTAATAATTTAGGTTTAATAGAAAGCCTGTCAGTGTCACCTGAGATTGTTTTTGATTTTGTGCTTTTCTCAGCACTGGGGTGAAACAGTCCCTTCTTCTGGGGGACAGCCTTGCTATTTATATGGGTGTGTGAGAAGGCAGTAATTCAGTTCTTCAAAAAACTTCTTGAGTCTGCGATGATTATTTGAAAAGGAATTTCAAGCAGCTTAGAGGTAGAGACAAGACCTGAACAGCATCATATTGCTGATGGATGGCAGAGCAGTGCTTTTCTGCGAGTCTCTGGGTACCGTACAGAGAGCCCAAGGGGGCAGAAAACCACAGGAACACAGCTCATTTTCAGGAACCTGCGAGCAAAGATAGCATACTAGGAGGTTTATTTTGTACAGTGTTGTGGGTAAATGGAATTGGCTGAATAAATGATGATGTACCCATACAATGGCATACCCTGTGGTTATTAAAATTGATGATGTTGATCTATAATTAACATTGAGTTACTTATAATATACTTTTAAGTAGAACAGAATGGGCTAAGACAGTTGTATAGACTAGGCTTTCATTATAAATGCATATATATATATATATATATATATATATATATATATTATACTTGGGGGAAAATGCTAGATGGCTATTCACCAGCATTTTAAGAGTGGTTCTTTCTAAGTGGCAAGATTTTTAATGTTAAAGAAGTTGTTTCCCTAAGTGCTTAGCTGTGTTTTCTAACTTTTCTACAATGAAATGATTGTATTGCCTATTAAAATTGAATATAAATAAATAAATAAATAAATAAATCTCAGGAAGGAGAAGGCATGGCGGAATTTAGGAAGAAAATAAGCCAAGCTAAGTAGGGTCAGCAAACCATACAACCAATGGTCCTTACCTGAAAAACAAGCAGATAGATAGATATGGGATGAGAGCAAAGATTTGTGGTGAATGATCTGAATCTGCCAAACTCCTAGGGTTGGCTCTATCAGGGAATAGTTGTCCCTCCATATTCCTTCTCCCCAGTTTTCCATTGACATAAATCACATTTTTTTCTAGTTACACGACCACTTAGAACAATAGTCACATTTTCCACCTTCCCTGGCAACTAAGCTCTGGCCAATGGGGTCTATGTAACTTTTAGGGAGAGTTCCTACTGAGAGAGACTAATTTTCTTTTTCCTTTCCTCCATTAGGCTATGTATAATGCAGACACAATTGCTGGAGCACTAGCTGCTATCCTGAACAATGAGGTTAAAGGGCACACATAAACAGTAAAGGAAGTAGTCTGGGTTGCCAAGTTGCTACTGAAGTTCTGAACTACTTTACTTCCAGACTTTTGTCTTAAAGCTAAATAAACTTCCATCTTGTTTAATGCACTGTTATTTTGGATATGTAAAAGGAAAAGGAAAGAAAGGAAGAATTTTAAAATTAAGGGAAAAGATGAAAGCCTTTGGTTTTGCATAATAATAATATCAATAGCTAATATTTATTGTTTCTTCCTGTGCCAGACACCATGCTAAGCATTTCACAATATAGTTATTTTGTTTTCATAACAAACTGTGATTAGAAAATTGGGTATCAGAGGGCTTAAGAAGCTGCCCAAGTTCATGAAGCTAGAAAGTGGTAGGTTTCAGAGTTGAGCTCAGGTCTGTCTATGGTCAAGTCGAGTTATTAACCAGTTAGCCAATGTTTCTCGAGAGGAAGCCTGTGGTTCACCTGTATGAAAAAATCCTGACAGGTGTTAAAAATGCAGATTTCTGGGTCCCATCCCCAACCTGCCTGACCAGAATCTCTTCAAGTACAATTCAAGTATCTGCATTTTTATCAAGCTCCTCCAGCATCCACGTCTGAGTTATATCTTATTCTAACTAAAATGGGAGCAATAAGGTTTTGATGTGGTTTTGTAAATGGCTATGCTGTTTTTTTCCTTCTTTTCTGGAAGACAGCCAGTGCAAGTGGCTTACGTATTTTAATGACTATCTGAGCATGTATATAAAACTAAAATTGCAGTAAATTCTTAAATCTCTTTGAAGATGCATTAACTTTGAAGCCTTGAAACAGTACTAATGGTTTTGTGGACCATAAATGACCCTAGGGCACTGGTAGACTGCCCAGTGGGAGTTGCAGAGAACGTATAATACCACAACATGCTATTAAACCTACTTCATCTCTAATATCCTGGCACCAAGTGTCAACTGTGGTACTTTCTTCACCTAGGATGTTAATTCATAACAGTTTCTTTTTGTTGATAGTTCATACTTTTTCCATGGATTTAAACATATGCATTATTTTTACTTCACCTGCCCAGTGATAGTTGTATATTCCAAAGCGACTGGACCACTTGAATGCGTCAGAGCCACTGTTTAATACAATACGTATATTCAGGCCTGTACAGCTCACAGTGTGACTTGTAGTACTTCCTGCAGATGATTCTGATTGCTGGGGATTTATATGGACCATGGTGACATACAACAGAAAAAAGCTTTTATATTGATAGATGATTTCACTGAACTATAAAAAATGGGTCTCGCCCTGCTTGGTGCAGCTCAGTGGATTGAGCACAGGCCTGTGAACCAAAGAATCATGGTTTGATTCCCAGTCAGGGCACATGCCTGGGCTGCAGGCCAGTTCCCAGCAGGGGACGCACGAGAGGCAACCATACACTGATATTTCTCTTCCTCTCTCCTTCCCTTCCCCTCTAAAGATAAATAAAATCTTAAAAAAAATGGGTCTCATTAAGCATATTTACTCTGCCCCCCTAGGCTCTTCATGTTTTCTCTCTCTCCCCTTAGTAGAGGTAAGTACTGTGAAAGTTCATTGTAAATTCTATTTTCAACATAAAGACTCTTTTCATCTTCTTTCTTTTTATTCTGGGTGATCCTTCCCCTGGTATTCTCAGTCCTACACTGATACCTACAGGAAACACTGGCTTCCACACTGTCAAGAGGGAAGGGAAGGGAGAGAGAGAGAAACTCGGGGGAAGAGAATTCATGTTTATTGTGGTTCTGGAAGCCATAGAAAATTTTCATACATTATTGCACAACTGTACTTTCCATGTATTCTTTCACTCATGTGATCTCAAAACCCAGTGAAGGAAGTGGTATCCCTCCATTTTATCGATGAAGAAACAGAAGTTTTGAGATGTTGATGTTACCATGCAAGGTTACACAGCTAGTGTATGGCTGCCCAGAGACTGACTTAGGCTCATTTGACTTCAAAGCAGCCTCATTCTTTCATCCAGCCAAAGTCACCTACGCTTATTTCTCCCCAGTAAAACTCATTTGGGGCCTTGTTTTGTAATCAAGGCAGAATGGAGTATGAATGTAATGTGCTCCCAGCTGGCTGCATTAGCATGAATTATTGAACTCCAAAGACCTCACATAAAAGTTAAGCACCTGAAGAGGCTCAGCTGGTTGATTCTATCTGGTCCTCGACTGTTCTCTCAAGAGAAAATTACACCAAATGCTACATCAGCAATCACCGTTGTCTTGTTGGGAACAGTGTTCATCATAATTGATTTCCCGGGTGCAAGCAGGAAGGGGCAGGGGGAAAAATAGATATGGAGGTCTCACAGCCAGGTCATTACCACACTCTCTTCCCTGGTGTTTCCCAAAGAGTTAGATAATCCAACAGAAGCTGGTGCGTACCTGAAAAACTTTCCTTTTCTGAGTTTCAAAAAGCTCAAGATTTCTATGCTCCTGTAATTTTCAATAGGGGCTGAAAGCCACAAGGGCCATGCTTCTAATGAAGGGATCCTGCACAAAACCCAGAAGCAAGGGAGCAGAATACTAGCAGTAAAAATACATCAGAGTCAGTAAGAAAGTAGGTAATAAAATTGTGGCAAGCATCCCTTCTCTGAGGAACCTGTCTGCTCTCCTGACCGGCATGTCATTCATTCTGGTCACACCACACACACAGGGTTACATGGTCCAGC